ATTTGGACTTGGTTTGTATGTGCTTTTAGACCTGCTTCCTGCCAGAGTCAGTAATTCATACAGAGTTGAATAGTTAGACCAGGTCTGTAACTAGATGTCAATAATATTTTGTCTAATTTATTCATGTATTAGGTCTTTAATGAATGAGAAATGGAGGATTTGTACAATGTTGTTATTTCGTGTTTATATGGAAAAACAATTCTGAAATATCTAGATAGGATTCTGTATTGAACATTGATGTTCACTGATGTGGCCCTTCCACTGAAATGATGGAGGCAGCAGTGGCCCACAGGCCCCTGAGTTAGACACAGTTAATTAATTGTAGCTGTGTGTGTTAGTCTGAATGGTCATCTGTTTGGATGGGATTGGCTCCAGTTTCCCAGCTTGATTGTGATTAAGCATTGGGAAGATGAATGAATGAATGAATGAAATGGGGGGGATTTAAGTTCACTGCTTTGACATTTACTGCTCTGAAAACAAGAGTGAACCAGCAGTATAAGCCTTGTTTTGTCTTTTGATTCTTGTCTTTTGATTCAAGCCTTGACATATGAACAAAGAAAACTCCACCTGACGATCTCAGGGTGCTGGTCGGCTCAGGCAGGATTTCTTTTGTGTAGCTGTGAGTCGTGTAATATCCCATACGAGCTATAAAACAGATCAGTATCTTAAAATCCATTCAATACATAGGTTACCTGTAGAGAGAAGTCGTGAGGCTGCTGACGTGACCATCTGTTAGATCCAGAACAAATCTTAGCTGCTTAGTTCTGAATCAGCTGGAGTTCAGGGACTGATTTATGATTATTACAGGGAAAAGGGTGATGTACAGAAATGAAGTACTCAGGGATTCTAGGCATTAATGACATTCCCTGTGTAAAGTGGAGATGATACCAAAAGGTCAGGACATTTGTGACATTATTGTGGTTCAACATAAGGTTTAATGGACGTAAACATCATCATGTAAACATTTTTCTGGGTAAAATCAGTTTGACAGTTTTGACGTGAACATGAAAAATCAAATTTAATTTATTATTATATATGTGTATATATATATGCACATATAGATGTATGTATACGTCTATATTTTATATTTTATATATATTTGATATATATTTGATATATATTTGATATATATTTCACATATATTTTATATATATTTCATATATATTTACATATATTATATTTATATATATGCTAAACCAGCCACTAGGGTACAGAAGCCAGTGCTACTATACTCATACTATGGTGCCGGTTGTGTCAGGAAGGGCATCTGGTGTAAAACTTTTAGCCAAATCAAATATGAAAATCATTAAAACGATTACCATACCGGATCGGTCGAGGCCCGGGTTAATAACGGCCGCCAACAGGGGGGCTAACAGGGGGACTATTGATTCGGACAAAAAGAGAAAGAATAGTGTTGTGTTGGTCTGAAGTTTGGAACTCTGAATGTAGGTACAATTACAGGAAAAAGTAGAGAACTTGCTGATGGAGAGAAGAATAGTAGATATTTTGTGTGTGCAGGAGACCAGGTGGAAGGGCAGCAAGCCTAGAAACATTGGAGGAGGCTACAAACTGTTTTCTCATGGTACAGATGGGAAGATAAATGGGGTAGAGGTGATCCTAAAGGAAGAGCATGTAAGAAATGTGGTAGAGGTGAAAAGAGAGTCAGACAGGTTGATG